AGAGAATTGTTGAAAAAGTCATGATGAGCTTGCAAGAAAAATTTAAGGCAAAGATATCATCACGTGAGGACTCAAGGGACCTATCTACCATAACTCTATTTGAGCTTGTGAATGCCCTTCATGCTACTGAACAAAGGAGGCCGTTGAGGTAAGAAGAACAAGTAGAACGAGCCTTGTTTGTTAAAGGAAAATACAAAGCTCAAACAAGCTTTGGTATGAAGAAAAATGTGCCTGAGAAAAAGAAGGATGAAGGCAGCAAGGTTGTTGGCTGATAAAAGTAGTTCATACCCATCCTGTCCTTATTGCAAAAAGTCTGGTCATTCACTTAAATGGTGCTGGTTCAGACTTGGTGTTCAATGCAGAGCATGAAAGGAGTTTGGACATGTTCAAAAAGTGTGTACAAATAGGAAGGAGGAGTCACTACAGCAGCAAGCATGTTGCTAAAAATCAGCAACCAAACCTGAATGAAAAGCACCTATTCACAGCTGAAAATCACAAAATGAGTAGTGGAATTGGAACTTGGCTATTGGACAGTAGTTGTACACATCATATGGCTTTAGATTCCAACATCTTTATTGAGTTAGACAACTCATACAAATCAATGGTGAAGGTTGGAAATGGTGTGATTCTTATGCAAACTTCATCGGGTATCAAACATATTCCTGATGTACTTTATGTGCCAGATTTTGATCAAAATTTAGTAAGTGTGGGTCAATTGATTGAGAAAAAATACACTTTGGTATTTAAGGATTGTGGTTGCATTATATTTGATCCAAGTGGAAACAGCAATTGAAATGAAACAAAGACGTTTTCCTCTGGAATGGAATTTTTTTACCTCTCATGCATGCACTAGTACTGATGTGGAGTCATCAATTTGGCACAAAATGTTTGGTCATGCAAATCATACTTCACTTAAACAAATGCACAAACTAGAGCTTGTTGAAAATATTCCTGACATATGTGATGAAGCCTATATATGTGATGTCTGTCAACGTGGTGAACAAACCAAACTGCCATTCCTCAAAAACCAGTCAAGAAGAGCCACAGAAAAGTTGGAATTAATCCACTTTGATCTAATGGTCCAATGAAAACACAAATACTAAATGACAGTAAGTATTTATACTCTTCATTGATGATTTAACAAGGATGTGTTGGGTGTATTTCTTGAAATGTAGTCTGAGATTGCTAGTATATTTCAAAGGTTCAAAAATCTGGTGGAAATGAGAGTAATTGCAAGGTAAAAGCCATCAGAACTGACAATGGAACTGAGTATAAATGTGACCAGTTTGATAAATGTAGTAACCTAATAATTTTATAGATAAAAATTTATTTATTTTGTATATTATGTAAATTTCTATTTTATTTGGGTCTAATAATTAGATTTTCACAGATCAAGATTTAATATATCAATATTGGGCTTGTTGGATAGATTGTATTAAATCATGAATTTTAGGCTCGAGAAAATGTTAATTTGGATAAGTTAGGCCAAAGATTTCGCAGTTCTAAGAATAGATGTTATTTTAAATTGGTTTAGGATTTGGTATAGTTGGAGCCACTAGTTTGATGTGTAGATATATAGGAATTCTACCTTGTAGTTGTAATTGTAGTGATTCGTCATGATTCTACTTTTGATTTGATAAGTATTAATTATATATATTTTCATCACAATCAAGTACACGAATCACATCATGATTTGCTTTATTAAAAAATTTAGCTTTATCCAATTTGGTGGTATACGTCTCTTTCATCCCAATTTCACCGAAATTCTATTGTCCTTTTCAACTATAAATACAAAGCCAAAAACCTCATCATTGACTACCAAAAATAAATACAATACATACGGGAAAGAGAGAGAAAAAGGAAGAGAGAGAAGAAAGAAAGAAAGAGCGAGAGAAAGGAAGAGAGAGAGTAGCATTGGAAATAAAGTTTGCATATAATGAATATTTTAATCACGTATTTTTCAAAGTGGAGAAAAGATTTTGAACGTGCTTCAGATTTTTCTAACGAGGTTGGCAAGTGTTTTTGTTTCTTTATGTGTTTATGTTCAATAAAAAAAATGCATGGATTGCTAGTAGACATTCTTTTTTTAAGAGATATGAAATCCTACGAGATTATAAGAGGACCTAAGATGGGTGTGTCATTTGGTCATCGATATACTCCATAAGATTAGATGGTATGAATTTTAATTTTTATTGTTGTATATATATATATGGAAACTGCACGTATCTTATTGGGTGTTTTCAAATACTCACTTTTACAAATTTTTATAGGTTAGTTCAGATCGATTAGAATTGTGGAAGGGCGGTCACGCGGGTGCCAAATGGATCAAATGAAAAGAAAAAGAAATAAGTTTGCCGTTTTTAAATTTACCAATTAGTTTAATTTTGTTCCAAACGTGTTATTTGAATTAGTTAAGAGTTTATGTTATGTTTAGATAAATTTTTCATATTTTAAATTTAGATTTATAGATGTTGCAGTTATTTGTTTAATAAAGAATTTTATTTTTATAGTTCCACACTTAAAATAAAGAAAAATGAGTTTTTCGTAACGTTTCGAAATTTATAGAAAATTGGGGCATTACAATAAATTTTGTGAAGCTATGGAGATCAAACATCAGTTGACCATTCCATATTCTCCTCAGCAAAATGGAGTGTGTGAAAGAAAGAATAGGATTGTGACAGAAATGGCAAGATGTTTGATGCTTGAGAAGAAAGTTCCACATGAATTCTGGTCTGAAGCTGTAAATATAGCAGTGTATCTTCTCAAAAGATTACCAACAAAAGCTTTGAACAAGCAAACACCCTATGAAGCTTGGTATGAAATTAAGCCAAATGTCTCACATTTAAAGGTATTTGGGAGTATATGCTATACTCATATACCTAATGTAAAAAGGGATAAATTGAGTCCAAAGGCAGAGCTTGGAGTTTTAGTTGGTTATTGTGATAATGCCAAAGGCTATAGAGTCTATAATCCACACACCACGAAGATGATATCCAGCAGGGATATCAAGGTTGATGAAAACTCTTCATGGAACTGGGAAGGAAATGTCTTGGATAAACCTCACACACCAAGGTTGGTGGCTCAAGGAAATGAAGATATCATTAACAATGAAGTTGAACCAGATGATGTCTCAAATTCAGAGAAGGAGTGTTGAGAACCAGACCTCTTGCTGATATATATGCCAAGTGCAGTGCAACTAAATTGTAACCTTCAACCTTCAATAAAGCAGTGAATTCACTTCGCTGGACTGCAATAAAGGATGAGATAGGGATGATTGAGAAGAATGGAACATGGGTGTTGTTGACAGACCAAAACATAAGAATGTGATAAGAGTTAAATGGATGTCTAAGACCAAACTAAACTTTGACAATTCAATCAACAAACTCAAAGCAAGGCTGGTTGTGAAGGGTTATGCTTAGCAATATGGTGTTGATTATACTGACACATTTGCTCCTGTTGCAAGGTATGAAACAATCAGGCTACTATTGGCAATAGCTGCACAAAGAGGCTAGAACATTCATCATTTGGATGTCAAATCAGCTTTCTTAAATGGTTAGCTGAATGAAGAGATTTATGTTGAACAACTAGATGGATTCCTTGTTGCTTGAGAAGAAAATAAAGTGTATTTAGTGAAGAAGGCTTTGTATGGCTTGAGGCAGACTCTAAGAGCCTGGTACAACCGAATTGATGAACATTTAAGCTGCCTTGGTTTTGTTAAAAGTGTTAATGAACAAACACTATATATAAAACAAGTGGAGAAAGATGTTATTATCATTTTATGTTGATGATCTTCTAGTAATTGGCAGAAATCAGAATTCTGCTTACAGTTTGAAAAATGAAAGGAAGATGGGATTTAAGATGATTGATCTGGGGAGAATGAAGTATTTTCTTGGAATAGAAATAAATCAAACAAATGATGGAATTTTTGTCAATCAAGGAAGGTATGCTGATGAAATTTTGAAGAAGTTCAGCATAAAAAACTACAAACCAGTGAACACACATTTGGTTCAAAATCTAAAACTAATGAAAGATGATGGTAGTAAGAAGTCTGATTAAAAAGTGTATAGAAGCTTGGTGGGATGCCTTTTGTACTTAACCATTGCAAGACTAGACCTCACATTTGTTGCCAACATTGTAACATCCCGAAATTTTAGAATAAAATATATTTGTTATATTTTTATATTTGGAAAATTTGAGGACTAAAATGAAACATGTTCTAAATTCATATTTTATTTGGTTAAATATTTAGATTTTGGCAGAGTGTTGATAAGTATATCAATATTATACTTATTGGGTAGCTTGTAATTAATCATGTATTTTCGGCCGAAGAAAAAGTTATTTCGGATAAATTAGGCCCAAGTTATTTAAGTTCAAAGATATTATCTTTATTTGACAAATAATTCGAGTTTGTCGATGATTTTAGCTTTACAACCATGATTTCACGTGTAGATAACCTTTGAATTTTGATTGAGATGAATGGATAATTGTCAACTCCTAGTTGCTGTTATCTACTTGAATTAAAATAGTAGAAAATCTCACAATTTATGTTGTAGAGTGTAGGGAGTTGGGATAGTACAAAATAAATCATATCACTTTGCTTGAGAAACACGACAGTTCCAATTCTCTTTCTGCAAATGTAAAGATTTCCTTTGGCTAAAAATAACTTATTTAAATACAATTTAAACTCCATCATCCGTCACTCTCCCATGTTCCCTATTCTATTTAGATGATTAGGATTTATCTAAATAGAGTTATAATGTAATCATACTTAAAGATTTAGGCTTATCACATCATGATTTGCTTTATCAAAAATTTTGCTTTATCCAATTGGGTGGTACACGTCTCTTTCATCCCAATTTCACCAAAACTCTATCATCTTTTCTACTATAAATACCATGTCAAAAGTCTCATCATTCACTACTAAAAAAAGTAAACACAATACTTACGGCTAAGAGAGAGAGAGAGAGAGAAAGAGAGAGAGAGAGAGAGAGGAAAGAGAGAGAGTAGTATTGGAAATAAATTTGCATACATCAAATATTTTAATCACGTATTTTTCAAAGCAAAGAAAAGATTTTGAACGAGCATTCAGACTTTTCAAACGAGGTAAGATACATATGTGCAAGTTATTTTCGTTTCTATATGCTTTTAGATGCAATTAAATATGTATGGATTGCTAGTGGACTTTTGGGTTCTAGAGAAAGAGATATGAAATTCCTACTAGAATTTAAGAGGATCTAAGATGAGTGTGTCGCTTGGTCACCGATATAGTCCATAAGAGCAAAGTGGTATGAAATCTAGATTTTATAGTTATATATTTGTATATGGAAATTGCACATATCTTAATGGGTATTTTGAAATACTCATCCTTACTTTAATTTTTCAGATTTGTGCGGGCCAATTGGAACGGTATGGAATGGTGATGCGGACAACCAAGATGAAAAATATTCATTAAGTTTTCTGTCTTTTAATTTAATTAGTTTGATTTGCTCTGGAAGAATAACAATGTTATTGAATTAGTTAGTTGAGTATGTTTATTTTAAAGATACGACTATCATGTTTTAAGTTAAATTTGTGAGGGGCTCAATTATCTGTTTATTAAAGAATTTTATTTTTATAGTTTCGCACTTAAAATAAAGAAAAGTGAGTTTTTCATAATGTTCCGACGTTTATAAAATTTGGGGCGTTTCAAACATACTTTCCAGATTTAGACAGGAGCCAACTAATCTACATTTTTCAAGCTGCAAAGAGAGTTCTAAGGTATATGAAAGGAAATGCAAACCTTGGAATCTGGTTTAGGAGGTCTGGAAACTGTGTTCTAATAGGCTACACTGGCAGTGATTGGGCGGGATCATGTGATGATATGAAGAGCGCATCAGGGTATGTATTCTGTCTGGGATCAAGTCCTATCTACTGGAACTCAATGAAGTAGAAAACTGTGGTTCAATCTACATCTGAAGTAGAGTATGTGGCTACATCTGATGCTACAAACCAGGCAATCTGGTTAAGGAAAGTCTTGAAGGATCTAAACCATAAGCAATCTGATACAACAGTGATCCATTACGACAACCAATCTGCTGTGGCTATGGTTAAAAGCCCGGTGTTCTATGGGAGGATAAAACATATCAAGATAAGGTATCATTCAATTAGGGAAGCACAAGAGAACCTTGAAGTAAAGCTGGTGCATTGCAATTCTAAGGTCCAATTTGCAAACATCCTAACAAAAAGTTTGTCTAAAGAAAGGTTTGAAACATTAAGGAAATGCCTTGGTGTTTCTAAGAAAAGTGTCAAGAAGGAGTGTTAACATTGGTTGATACTTTTGCAGTCACCAATTGTAGTATTTTTTTTGTATTAAAATCAGCCTATGTAATGTTTATTTTTAATGATTATAATGTCTGTCAATGTATGGTTTATTCTGTCACTAAGTAAGGCTATAATTGGTAGAAGTTGTTGGCTTGTGGTATGGTTGAAAACCTCTTGTATTTCACTTAAAATAGTAGCCAGTCATGGAGTTTTTGTACTGATAATTTTATTAACAGCAAGAAATCTGTTTTGTCCCTTTCTCCTTGTTCTATAAAAACCTACAATGTTCAAGATCTTGAGTACATGTTGAGTATTATTATATACTGAAACCTCGTCTCTAATGCCTCAAAAAAGGCGAGAATAAATCGCCAGCATTTTCAGAAGCACCTTGAACTGCACCTTAAGTTACGAATTCATTAGGAGTCTTAAACCATATGTTTTGAGGGTCCTTTTCTCATGAATTATATATGACTCATTCCAGGGTGTAAGCCTCCAGGGGGATGAGGTGTGTACTCCATAACCTTGGTCTTTCTTGGCTGTTATTTTATCAACCTCTGCATTTAGGACTTTTTTTTTCCATGTATTTGTTCTTGGTGTTTCTTTATTTTTATCCTGTCGTCTTCATATAACCAGGTTCATGTTGCTTTTGAATGTTGTATTATCATTATGTCAGCCCGAGTACAATTCATTACCATTTGTCTCAACAGACCTTCTCCATAATGAGTAGAAGTTGTGAAAAAATTTCAACTTTTTGCTCGAATAAACAAACTCTCATTAATCTCACAATACGTAACTCCTACAATAGAGCAATTCTCTCTCAAAAACTCTCTTATATGAACATTGAATTTTCTCTTCTACTCGATATTTCAAAATACATACCAATACATCTATTTATAGAAAAACTAAGAAGAGTTCAAGATGATCAAATAAATTTCTTCAACCTGATTTAATAGAAGAAGTATTCAAAATAATTAAGTAACTTTGTTCCACATCCTTTGATAGAAGAGTTCAAAATAATTAACTCTTTTAATAGGTCTCAACTAATGATGAGCTTCTCTTTAACCATGTAAAATTCCTGTATCCAATAAAAAAATTTTGCTTAAACAAGTTGCATTCTGACTAAGCCATATATTCATCATCTTCATACTTCTAATGCTTCTCGATGATTTTGGAACTTCTTTCTGTTTCTAGAATTTCCTTGGTCAACTTTACACTACTTTCAACGTTAAACTTGACCATCCTAAGTAACACATCAAGCTTAAGTAGATTGGTAAAAATATTTGCTGCTTGATCATTTATTTTGAATGGTAATAGCTCCATTTCTTTCATCTTTATGCGTTCTCAAATAAAATGAAAACGCATGTCTATATGTTTGCTTCTTTCATGATGGATTAGATTCTTTGCAAGTGAAATTGCTGATTGGTTATCAATATTAATCTCATTGAAATTTTCTTGAGGGAATTCCAAATATGTTAGCATATTTCGCAACCAAATAGCATGACTTATGGTTGAATTTGTAGCATTATACTTAGCTTCAAAACTGGATTAAGTAACAATTGGTTACTTTTTGGATGACCATGTAAATAATATTTCTCCAATAAAACATACGAATCCAAATGTACTTTTTCTTTCATCTATATCTCTTTCTTTATCACTATCTAAATAACCAAAGAGTTTAAAATCATCGATAGATGCATAAAGATGGGACTGATCTGGTGTCTCGATGTATCTGCTGATCAATCCTACGCCATATAGTACATCCAATCTAGTGTATGTTAGATATTTAAGCTTCCAACCAAGCTCTTGAAATATGTAGGATTGGCACCACAATTTTAATTTTTGTGTAGTTCTTGTCCGCTTTCAACTGGAGCAGTAACCGAATTACATTTCTCCATTCCAAATATTTTTAAAATATCTGCTACATAGGCACTTTGAAAAATAAAATCCCATATTTTTGTTCCTTAACTTCAGTCATGAGAAAGTGTGCCATCAATCCAATATCAGTCATTTTAATTCTTTCATCATATTCTCTTTGAAGGCTTCAAAATGGATGGATTGTTGCCTATAAAAATCAAGTCATCCACATATAAACTCATAAATTGTATTCCATTATCTTGTTCTCATTTTACATATACTACATGTTCATATGGACATTGCATAAACCCGTTCTTTTTATAGTAATTGTCAATACGGGAATTTCATGCTCAGGGGTGCTTGCTTGAGTCGATAATGAGCTTTTTCAATTTATAAACTTTATCTAGCTGAACCCCTCGTACGTGTCCCATTGACTGCTAATCATAGATGTCTTCTTCGAGATATCCATATAGAAATGTTATCTTTACATAAAGCTAATAAATCTTCCATTTGTATTGTGGAACCTGTGAAATCAACACTCGAATTGTCTCTATGCGTGCAACAGGTGCCAATATACGACAATCAATTCCTACTTTTTGAGAGTAACCTTTTGCAACCAACCTTGCATTATACCTCTAAATTTCACCTTATGTATTCATCTTTGTACACCCATTTTACTCCAATGGCCTTTTTTCCTTCAAGTAACACAATGAGCATCAATGTGTTGTTCTTCTTAATAGAAGCAATTTCTTTATACATTGCTTTCTACAATCTTTAATCTGTTGAAGCTTTTTCAAAAGAAAGTAGTTCACTACTAGCTAATAAACAAAACAATTCATAGTGTTCGTCTTGTCACTCAGTAGCATCACAAATATCTCTTAAGCATCTCATCTTCCTCGGCCTTTCTTTAGAGGATGATGCTGATGAAAATGATGAATCTTCTATTGTTGAGGGGGAGCCAGATATAGTTGGTTGTTTGTCGCTTGCTTCACTATTTTGTGGTCGACATTATTGAAATTCTTCTTGCTCAAGAATTAAACGAACTTTCTCAACGTCTTTAGCATTCTTCCAATTCCAAGCTTTATTTTCTTCAAAGATTGCATCTCGACTCATGATAACATCTTTTGGGACATGATGGTATAACTTATTTTCCATTATCCTATTGCCATAACCGATAAAGATACATTTCTGCCTTTGTCATCAAATTTAGTTCTTTTTTATTCTGGAATCTTTACATAAGTTATAAACCCAAACACTCGAAAGTGATGACACTTGAATGAACATGTGGATGTTTTGTTATAGAACAAAACATTGGAGACCTGCCTAGAGATTTCACATGGATAACCATCTGAGTGTTAGTGGTTAATCTCTAACGTTTGATAGTGGGATTGGTCATTTGACTTGAGGTCATCATAGTACCTAATATGAGGACAATCATGCTTTGACGGTGTTGGATGTTGCTCTACCAAGGACTGCTAATACGGCGTCGTTCGGGTATATCAAGAATCGTACGAAGGTTATGAATGATCAACTGAGGATTCGTTGCTCTTAGATAGTAAGATATTATGATATGTATTTCATTCAATAAAGTCGATAACGAAATCCTTGGTCAAGGTGTACTCGTAATCAAAAAGGAGTTTTCTACTTATATTGACTTAATAGTGGAGTGAAAGATATGATCAATAATTGAGATTGACACACTTTCATATCTTGAAATTAATCGGATCATATTGACGAAGGGATTATAGTTTCACGGTAAATGAACGAGTTTGATTTTGTCATACCACATGACATTTCTCGTCACATTTAATGCCCTAACACATTGTTAGATGTCAATCTGGGACGGTGAGTGTGAATTGGTGATAAATTAAAAGGGTGTTTTAATTTATCAATTTTGATTAGATCAAAATAATATTTCAAGTCGTTAAGTATCGTGATTGGGAACCTGATGGATCGCACACAAAAGGAGAACTGGAAGATTTTGATTTGTCAATTAATTAATTTAACAAACGTTGGATAAATTGATAAATTAATTAATTGAGTTGCTTATTTATAGGCCTGAATTAATTAATTGGATTAATTAGTTCACGGATTGGATTTAATTACATGCTTATTTTTAGGGGCGAGATGTGTGATGGCCGGTTACATCAGTTGGCACCGGAGAAGGACAGCGCCAAGCGCTAGTAGTAGTGCCTGACGCTGACTGATATGCGCTGCTACTGCTGCCGCCAATACTTAGCGCACTGGCTTTCTCTTTTGTGGCGCTAGCTCGCTTAGAGAAGGGAAAAAAAATTGGATTTTAGGTTTTACTGTGAACTCGAGTGCGAAAGGTTGGAGACGGGGTCTTCCACTGCAATTAATGTAATTGCGAGCCCCCACCTGTAATTATAGAATAAGGGTTAGCCTATAAATTTTAAATGGAGGGAACTCCTATGCAATTTCAGTATATGAGGGCCCTACTAATAAATTTTAATTGGGTCAAATTGTAATTTCTAAAATGGTTTTAAATTTGAATTTAAAATTATTTTAACATTATATTTTGAATGAGTTTGACCTATAATTTTAATTTTGACCCAAATTAAAATTTGTTTAAAGTTGACGACTTTTTATATTTTTGTTAAAATTGGATTTTGACTTAAATATTAAACTTTGACCCCAAATTGATTTTTATTTTATTTACGAGTGTTATCCTAGATTAAAATATTAATTTAATTTAAATTAGAGTTTGACTCTAATTTAATACTTAATTAAATTTTGATTTTAACTGATTATTCACCCGAATACATTCTAGAAATTAGAATTGGATTCTAATTTAACATTTAATTAAAATTTGATTTTAATTAAATTGACTTACCCTAAAATTTTCCTTGAAATTAGAGTTGAACTCTAACTTAATATTTAATTAAAACTTGATTTTAATTAAATAATTCTTTAGAATTGGATTCTAATTTGACATTTAATTAAAATTTGATTTTGATTAAATTGTCTCACCCTAAATTTCTTCATGAAATTAGAGTTAGACTCTAATTTGACATTTAATTAAAATTTGATCTTAATTAAATATGTTCGCCCTAAAATCTTGAATTAGAGTTGGACTCTAATTTTATTATTTAATTAAAATTTGATTTAAATTAAATTCAATCGCATTGAGTTTTAAAATTAGAGTTGGACTCTAATTTGATATTTAATTGATATATGATTTTAATTAAATAGTCCCGCCCTATAATTGTGGAATTAGAGTTGGACTCTAATTTAATATTTAAATAAAATTTGATTTTAATTAAATATGCCCTCTAATTAAATTAATTGATTAATAAGATTGATTAATTATTTAATTGTTCCGATCCATTTGTCTAAAAGAGTTTAGACGCCTTAATTGCTATAAACTTGAAATGTATTTGCA